ACGCAGTGAATATACATACGATCATTTGACAAAATGTTGCTTCCTTATTAACAAAAATTTTCTAAACTTTCATAAAGAAAGGTAGTTTAAGAATGAACACGACGGATTGTACTCTAACTGACATATCAAAAATACAGATAGCCCTCTACTGCCAAAGCTTCTGAAACTATCGCCTGATTATTTGAAAAAATCGGATATTTATATACTCCTAGCCTTTATTCTATATTCCGTTTTCTTTTTATTTTGCGTAATTTAGGACAAAAAATCAGAATGGACATATTTTTATATAATATGAATTTGTTCTAAAGGACCTGCTCTAGGAGAAAAGTTTTCAAACGAGCCCAAAACCCCTGCAACAATCATACCTCCATTTTTGAAGACTATGGGCGTAATGACTTCACATGTGCCCTTTACGTTTCACTTCTTTTTTGAAATTCAACGAAGCGGACAAATTTGAATAGTTTCATTGCAATGTTATTCATTAAACATACATGGACATAAAATAGCACATTTTTACCAAAAAACAGCATAAGTTTCTCGACATTATGAGTTAACAATGAATTACCGTACTTTGTTTACCTAATATGACAACGCGAAAATGAAACCCATTCATTCGAAGACTAGAACTTCCTTTTCAATACAGATTATTTCAAGAAACCTATTTGAATGCAGTATATGAAAAAAGAGAATAGTATACAAATTACATACACGTCAGCAACAGAGAAACTGTTTGATTGCCGCGTTGAAGCAGCAGCGATGAATCGCTTACAGTTCTGGAACCGTAAAGAAAGAATAGAAGCATTAGAATTTTTGAAGATTAAATCTACTTTGAACATGAAAGAAAATAGAAATAGCATACTTTATGAAAAGATTAAAGTAAGATCATATCACAGTCAACAGATTTCAGAGCTGTTCATCAGTATCTGGATTTAATGCGATACTCTCCTCAAGATGTCGGAATTGTGTTGTCAGCAAACTTGGAGTAGCTCCATTGTTGCACCTAGTCATTGTTGTTTTATTTTCTCGTTCCATACCCTTTTTCCTCGCCCGATCCTCGTCCCATGTGAATACGACACCGCGCAGCTTCCTAAGAGGTTACTATGAATATGGCTCTTTTCGTAAGCTTCTTCATCGGACAAATTTTGCCAATTAGGCACAGAAGGAGTAGCGTCGCTATATTTCTCGTCAATAATAATATTGGGTTTTTTGGGACTCCGTACCCTCCTCAGAAAGTTTTTTTTTGTCACTAGCTTTATGATGTCTTCGGTGTTACACAAATGAAACCATGTTTGTTAAATCAGAAATACCATTTTCTCTGTGACAATTAGAAATTCTAGCAAACACGACTTGCACTGCATCACTATTCGGGGATCTTTTTTTTTATAGTTCAAGCAATATGTTAGCAAAAAAGAGAAACTGCTTTGAGGGAGTAGGGTGGCTCAAGCTGTGTACAAACATTCTTTGCTAATGGATGCTCAAAAAAATCCCTTTGATTAAAACTTCATATCCCAGGCACATTTGCGGCCTAGATCTTAAACGTGAAGGGAAAAAAATTCGGCGGCGACTCTTACC